AAATACCTTCGCCAGTAAGGTCACATTTCCTCCCGCAGTCACCGCCAGATGCTGACTTTTTCAATTCCAGCATTCATTCTCTGCCTTGCGCAAATGGCTCTCATCGGCTACGGATCTGTTTACGCGGCCATCTCTTTCCCCATTGTGCTCATTTCCTTGTATCTCATCCAGAAAGTGTACCTCCGCACCTCGCGGCAGCTCCGCTTGATGGACCTGGAGACCAAGGCACCACTCTACTCCTTGTTTGAGGAGTCGCTCAATGGCCTAGCCACGATTCGCGCCTTCAACTGGCAAGAAGCACTGAACAACAGAAACCACGAACTCCTGGATCGCTCGCAGCGTCCCTTCTACCTCTTGTTTGCCGTTCAACGCTGGCTGACGCTTGTCTTGGATTTGGTTGTCGCCGCCATTGCTGTCCTGCTGATGGTTCTAGTGGTTCAGCTCCGAGGTACCATGGCTGCTGGCGGTGTCGGTCTCGCACTACTCAACGTCATTCAGTTCAGCCAGAATATAAAGCTGCTGGTCACCTTCTGGACAACACTGGAAACGCACATAGGCTCGGTCTCCCGCATCAGAAGTTTTACTGAAACCACGGTGTCTGAGGATCAGCCCGAGGAAAAGGACACCCCGCCCCCAGGCTGGCCGTCGACGGGTGCGATGGAGTTCGACAACTTGTCCGCTGCATACACGTAAGTTCCTGCCACGCGATCTGAGGGTTTGTCTCTGTTCACCTCGCTGATTTTGGGCCGAACACAGGAGAGATGATCGTGTCTTGAAGAATGTCTCCATCGCAATCAAAGCCGGCGAGAAGATTGGCGTATGCGGAAGGACTGGCAGTGGCAAGACCTCCCTTATCATGAGCCTTTTCCGTCTCGTGGATCTGCAAGGTGGAACCATCCGCGTGGATGGAGTGGACATTTCCACGCTCCCTCGACAGGAAGTCCGTAGCCGGATCGTCGCTGTGCCGCAGCACCCTTTCCTGCTCAAAGGTTCAGTGCGCCTCAACGCAAACCCGACCGGAGGTGCCTCGGATCAGGAAATTATCGGTGCTCTTAAATCTGTGCAGGTTATGGAAGCTGTCGAGAAGCATGGTGGCCTCGATGCAGATATTGACTCTCTGAATCTGTCTGCTGGCCAGAAACAGTTGTTCTGTTTTGCCCGCGCTATGCTGCGGCCCGGCAACATCTTAATCCTGGACGAAGCTACTAGCAGGTAAGAGAAATTGCTCCGCCTACTGTTGGATTTTCTGACTGACCAAACCCTCCTCCGCAGTATCGACGCAAAGACCGAGGAGACAATGCAGCGCCTGATTCGCAAAAAGTTCGCCAATCACACCATTATTGCAGTCGCGCATCGGATCGAGACCATCATGGACTTTGACAAAGTGGCGGTTCTGGATGCTGGACGCTTGGTTGAGTTTGATAATCCGTACAGCCTTCTCGACGTGCCTGGCTCTGCCTTTGGGAGGTTGTACAACGCAGCGGTATCCGAGGTAGAGGAGGGGTTGGATGAGAAGTGCTCGAATGTATCATAGATGGCTGTGTTCTATGCACTACATACCTTAGCTTATGAATGAACATAACGGAGCTTCGGGCGCGTTATAATGGCAACAAACACATGGCAAGATATCGTATGTGCCTTGGAGGGTATCTTGTACTTGATGACGAAGTATATGTCAATAATCATTGGATGCTTGGATGTTAGTACAACAGTCACTGGCACTCACAGAGGTTTGCTAACAGTTTCACAGTGCCAAAATGGGAGCGCCATAGTGAACAGGCATTTCTGTGCCGCGAGAGGTAGGAAAGACCGTTGTCCAGGCCTGAATAGCATTTTGAGCCTTGGATTCGCCTGGTCATCAGACCTCTTGGTACAGAACCAGGCGGCGGCGGAGTTTATTGGTGTCGAGTGCTGTAAACGACGCTCAATGCTCCCGGTATTCAATTTGGGCTCAGAGAAGATAATTTTTCCATCCACCAACAGAAAACTGACAAAAGCGTAGCCTCTGGTCACGCTCGTCCGGCACGGGTTAAATCAATTCGGTCAGAAAGACTTCGACCTGATGTTCTTGGCCCTTAAGCAAAACGTGAGTAAGTAATGGAGAGCTTCCGACAATAACGAAAAAAGGAAAGACTAGGTACACAACCCCCCGTATGAGGTCGTTGACACATCGCATTGACTGCCCAGGTACCGCAATACGAAAAGATCAGTAAATTGAATACCGTGTTTAGATTCCCCTTTTGGATGACTCGGTCAGCATCGGGTTTCAATCATTCCCGCTGCGACAGCAAGTTACGTGCGGTGTTGCCCTTGACAGCGGCAAAGCTAAGCGAGAGCGGCAAGCGTTGAGGCGGATAATTGAGAAGCTGAAGTAACAGTAAGGTCTCGGTATCCGGCTTTGGAAGGTCTGTACAGAAAAGCGGCACACGGTTGACAATGCTACTGCAGCCAAGGTAAGGTACCTACCTTTCACGGAGGGTTGAAAAAAGGAAAACAAACCCGAGTCTGTCCACAAGGGTTACTCTTGTTAACCGAGTTACAGGACATGCATCCCAAGCTCCACGACAATGGTAAGGATAACTATGACCCAATCTGATCATGTTAAGTTGCGCTCTGGATCAGGCCGCTTGCGTTAGAGGACGCTGTTACAGCGCCTGTCTTGTTGAGGGTCCAGTGAAACGAGTGAAGGTCCAAACGGCTGCTCTGAACCCGACCTCATGACGCTCAGTGGTTCAGCTTTTAAGGGGAACAGATGTCTGGTTTATCCGAGTTCATCTGTATTCTGATGGTGATACCATTTCAAGGTCAATCACGCCTTGTTCTAGCTCTTGATCAACTTTGCCCTATTGGCTGATATTTCCCGTTGGCTTGCGCCTCAACGAGTTGATCACTGCAAGTGCAGAGAGACAGCTTCGTCCAACACTGTCACCGTGCTTGACAGGGATATGAGATCCCGGCAGGGCACTACCCACCCGTACCACCGAGATCTGTGGGGACAGGGGGGGATACTCAGCCGGCGCTATTTCAGGCACATGGCCAGGGGCAGCTCCGCTGATCGTCAGGTTCTGGGTTACATCCCACAGCCATCGAGCCTCAACTGCTTACGTCTTGGCACGGGCGAACGTTTGTCCAACCCTTCCAGGTTCTTTCCCTAGATGGAATGTGAGACTCCAATCCAGTTGCATCATTGGCTGGAATCGTCAAGCCAAAAGCGGCAGCCAGTGGTCTAGAAAGCTTATTCTCTCATGGTGTTGGGATGAACATGGACTCAAAGTCACGGTCAGACTGATGGCCGTCTGAGGGTTTGGGGGTAAGGCCACGATCTCTGCATGAATTTGTGCCGCACGGCAGCTTTGCGCAGGACTGAGACTGTCATGACCTGCTGAGCTGAGCTGGGGCGCTCTCCATAGACGTGCAATGCCCCTTGCAGCTTCGTGGGAGACTCACCGAAGCTGAAGCGTCAGTTCGGGTCATAATGCCTTGATAATGCATACCGAGGTTCTAATTTTGCAACCTCTTCGCGGACAGTTTTGGACGTGATAGCCGGCGGGATGTCTCAGCACAAAGTCAGACAGGGGCGCCTCGGCAGGATTCCGGGCAAGGCACGAAGCAGAGTCAAGCAGCTAGAAATTGATAATGGCTATCAAAGAGTTAACCTGTCGACGGGCTGAGATGTCTATAAGAGAGTCACTACGTCCTCCGTCTCTAGCCCCGTTTGAATTCCTCATTCTCAGCATCAACAACTTCTCAGCGCCTCATCTGCTCAAAGCTCAACTCCCGGTGCACGCCCTAGGTCACTTAAAAGCATCTTCAGCACCCAAAGCTACCGCCCTTTGACGCTAGCCACACACCTTCAAAAATCGACTTCAGCTCCCTTTTTGTCACCAAACCTCCAAAATGAAGTTTCAACTCCTGACCGTCGCTGCTGCCCTCTTCGTAGCTTCGGCTACCGCCCTCCCTGCCGCGCAGACCGACAGCCACGGTCTGATCCCCGACACCGACGATTTCGTGGATGATGGCACCATCGAGCTCATCGAAGCCCGCGCCACCGTTGCCAACGACGCGGTCGATAACTTCAATTTCACGGCCGACTTCGACTTTGCCCTCGACCGTATCCTGGCCGAGATTGATGAGATCCCTGACGAGGTCCTCGAAAAGGGTGACGAGGCGCTGCACCAGTGGCTTGTCGCGCATGGCAACCGCGCGGGCAACGAAAAGCTGAAGCGTGATGATGCCTCGGAGGCCGAAAACCTGAGCATCCTCGAGCGGGGTGAACTTGCTGCTCGGGCTTCGATCTGGAAGATCGCCAAGTGCGTCGCGGCCATCGTCCAGCTGCTCGGCACCACTGCTGTTCCCGCCGCCAAGCTGCTCCGCATCAAGAAGTATATCAAGGCCCTCGGCGGCGCCAAGAAGGCCGTCAAGCTCCTGCTCGGCGCCACCACCAAGGCCGAGAGGCTGAAGGCCGGTGGCCAGGCTCTGGTCTCCCTGGCTTCTGAGCTGCTTGGTATCAGCACTGTCAAGAAGAACTGCTTCTAAGGGAACACTGAACAATGGTGCGATGATGGAAGAGAGTGGAACTATAGAGGGGTTGTGGTTTGGAGAGCAGTGGTTCGGATTTTATGACGTCGGGAACAGGTCTCCTTGGTGCTATGCATTCTCTTCTTCTGTCTTTGAAAACCTTTGTACGTCGCTGTTTTGTTTGCTTAGGTCAGTGACTTCACTGGGTCCGGTACCTATATATACTTTATCGCTTGAGCTGCCCTTCGCCTCTTGAAGTGCAAGTGGCCACTAAGATTCCCGCTGCGGGATGCCTCCTGGATCGTCTCCTGCTTTTCAGGATTGATTTCTGCTGCGCGCAATCCTCGCCATCTGGAACCTGAAGCCGCCCCCACCAAGGGAGTGGTAGGGGGAAAGAGAACACCAAGTCAGAGAAGATGTGAGATGGACAAAAAGAGACAAAGGATGACAACAGGTTTTCACTTTGGCCACGATCAAAAACACGATCCACCCAGGGGTCGAACCTGGAACCTCCTGATTGCCCGAGCCACAAGATGTGATGATCTTGGGATGCTCGTAGTCAGACGCTCTGCCATTGAGCCAGCGGACCTTGTTGGAAAACTGCATAATGGGGCCCAGACTCAAAACCCTCGCTTCTGAGCAATTTTCTGAAAATTCAGGTGGGCCCTGCTCTGAGTGGTTCGTTGCCGCCAATATCCCCACTGGGAGCCCACCAGGCCCAATAGACTCCCTCTTCTCCAGTTGCACACACCTTTGAGATTGAATCTTCGTGAGAAAGCGAGCACTTTCCATTGTTTAGACCTTAATTTGTTACTGAGCTGTACCTGCTGACAATTTTCTGTCCTGGCAATTCCGAGTTGCCTCGTTCCTTTTCTGCCTTTTGGGGGAATTGTGTCTTGATCCATGGGCTCCGGCCCTCGGAGAATGGAGATGAACTGGGAAGAGAATTTCCCGGCAACACATGTGCAGTCCCCCCACTGTTTCGCTGCGGCTTGTCTCCTGATCTGATCTGGTGACCTGGAGCAATACCACGCGCCTGGCAGCTGGTACAGCGAAGATTTCTGAGTGGAAGGTTCAAGATTTAACAGCAGACGACCTCATGTTAGACCCCGTTTACGGTTTCGCAACTCTTCTGTAGCAAGTATCGCTTTCAAACATCCTTTGAAGGACCCAACATGAACCACCAAACCACTCGAAGTGACCATCCTTCGGGACCACGGTCTCCCAGAACCCCAACACCGCCTCCCCACCCCCCTTCCCGATCGTCCCAAAGCCTGCTCTCAGACTTCGCCAATAATACCAACTTTGGTGAAGACATAGACTTTGTGGTCGGGGTTACAGCCACCGCACTTGCGGCTGACCAGCTGCTGAAGCTCAAGGACAGCACGAAGCACAAAAAAATGCACCTTGCTAAGGCCGGTCTCAGCGCTGCTGCTGCGGCTGCCGCATTTTCCATGATGAGGCGTGAGCACGCAGAAAACTGCCATCACGGTGGCTCCAAAGGCCAGGCACGACATCATGGCTCAGTGAACGATGCTGCAGTCGATTTGGACCACAGAAATCTTTGCCAACCAAAGTACCATGGTCGTCCACTTTTGCAGAATGAGCACAGCTCTGAAGATGGACGCAGACATTCGAATCACACGCTTTCAGCATTACCTTCGAACCACGAGACCTACGAGTCAAGCAGTTGCCACGCGCCCTACCCTGACGATGACGAAGACGACATATTCCCAATGCCGGTGCCGTTTTCTGATCAGCAACCAAGGGACCAAGGGAAGGAGTCATTCTCTCCGTTATCTCATTATGGATCTCACAGGATCCCAGGCCACTGATCTTGGTGCACAAAGAAGCCAGGAGTTCACGTGGGGAAACATACGAGTTGGGCGCAGACAGGGCATACAAGCACCACAACATCACCGCTTCGCCGCCATTCAGCCACAAGCCGATTGGGGAAGGTTCTTGCGGGCGTTCGCCCGCCACGCCGCCGCCTTTTATAGCTCATTACGGTCAACACAACAACCCTGCAAACGGCTTCAGGCCTGCTGCGCAGACGAACTTTGGGTCTCGCTGAATTTGGTGCCGATTGCACAACTATGTCCCAGACCAATAACTCATAACTCCACGACCGCGACAACATGCTTGGAGACGGCATCCCCTTGGCTGAGACAGCGATTTAAAAAGCCCTTACTGTATTCACCATGTAGATGGGAAGATGAAAAAAAGGAAAATGGGCAAATAGAAATTTGATCCCACACAAAGAAACAACCCTTTATCGTGACTAGATTGCCATCAAATTTCCCGATTGTTGAGTTTGTCTCTCCTCTCCAGTCTTGCTTACTGCCTGTTTTCAGTCGTACGCTAATGCGAATGAGGTATTTTGTGGAGAGCGCAGCCGAGATTGTGGAGCTCGCGGGAGCTGAGCGGCCGATCTCACTGGTCAGGACCGTTGTCCAGTGTGGAGCTCGGCGAGGGTCACGACTCTGGCTGCACGTCGACCTGGAAAAGCGTCGCGACGGTCCTGGATTCCAGGACCGTCGCGACGCTTTTCCCTGGATCGTCGCGACAAGATAGAATACTAGGGTGGAGGAGCTGCGTCTTGCCAGCAGCAATAAAACCCCTCACTCGACCTCGCACTAAGTCCCTGGTCCGATTCGGCAAAGCCTTTGACCTTTTCCAGACCTCCCAGAGCTGCGCAATCCTCCGATCCGCGGTGACCACAGCGCGCTCTCCGCGGAGCAAATTCTCCGGTCAGGGTATTGTTGAACCGCTCCTTAGGTACCTCTCAGCTCAGAGTTTGTCAACTTTCTTAGAGGCACTCGTGCAACCAATGCGCTTCCTACAGCTTACTGTTAGTCCGATGTCAAGTTCAATAAACGGAACCTTAGCCTTCAGCTGCTGGGCTGTTCTCCAAAAACAGCCCACCCCGCTGTGCCTGCATATGCTTGGCCTCTCAGAGAGTTGACGTGTTGTGGATATCTCACTGTGGCAAATGGCAAAGAATGCTGTTAAATTACAATGAGCTTGACAAGTATGTCCGGAAAACTGGGCTCTCCGGGATAGTTTGGTATTATCCAATGCAGGCAGTCAGACTCCCGTCCTCGCCTCGAGTGCCACATTGATTTCATATGAACTAAGAAGGGAAAAAGTCCGATGGGAGTTAATTACACAATCCTCCAGTCATCGCATTTACTCATCGCCGAGCGGCCGGCTTGGCCGCCTCTGTCACGCTGGCCACCAGCGCCAAAGGCCCGCACTGGCTGGCCTGACCACCAGTCAGCACATACTTGAGGTCTTCGGCCTCGAGCGCCTTGAGGGCGGTCTCGGAGACATCCTTTACCAGCAAAACCTTGTTGAGCTGGCCCTCAATTGCACACATGACCAGGAACATGTAGTCGTCGCCGAGGGGGTCGATGGCAACCAGCACGGGGTCGCCTGAGCCGGACGAGGGTGCGATGGGTGCCAAGCTGACGAGACGAGAGCCAACGGGCAGCTTGTCCCACGAGGCGAGGCGCAGGCGCGACGCGCCGAGACTGGAGATCTCGCCGGGGAAGTAGTGAAGCAGGCGCTCGGCCGAGTCGCTGTCAACCAGGTAAGGAAGGTCCTTGTTGCCTGGCAGCGTCATGGCGCTCAGAACCGTGTTGTTGGTCAAAAGGCTGAGCTCCTCGGTGGTGTCAACGGTGGCAAGGAAGAGGTTTCCGCTGTTGGCGGCGTGGAGCTCCAGGGAGCCGGTGCTGTCGCGGACGGTGGCGACTGCTTGTCCGCTTTCAAAAGCCGTGGTCGTCGAGTTGGAAGGCAGAGTCGAGTTCGAGGAGGGGCCCTCAATCTCCTGACGCTTGAAGCGGCCTTGGAGATCCATAAGTTTAAGTGCGTCGTGCTCGATGCCTGTGACGGCGTATAGAGGTCCGTCAGAACTAGAACGAACGTCCCTGTACCAGATCACGGCCGACTTTCCGATGCCGACCCATGTGTCACCGAAAAGGCTGTTTTCGACAGCGATGGTCTGCCCGGACCTTGCTTTGCTGTAAATGGTGTTCCAGATGTTCTTGTCCCTGATCTGCGACAGACCGTAGCAGACATCAATGATAAGAATCGACTTGGTTTTAAAGAGGGCGTCGAGCATCGAGGGCCAAATCTGTGTCACCATGCTTCCGCCCGTGGCCGGGCCAGGGCGGATTGTCTGAATACCCGAGTTCTGCCTCCCAACCCAGGAGCGCTGCTCCGCGCCATAGCGGTACAGCATGAAGATGGAATGCGGGGTATTAGCGCCCACCCGGTCCTGAGACGGGGAAATGGACTGGGAAGCAGTGTTGGTGTTGATCTCGATGCGGTTGCCCACCTGCCAGTTTTGGACTGCGTAGTTGGTAATATCAACAGTGCCATAAATGACATTGAGAATCTCAAATGGGCTCATCAGCATCATTGAGTGGTAGACGCCGGCGCGAGTAGGGCCGGCACGGCTGCGGGCCCAGCAGTTCGAACGATCAGAAGGAGCGGCAGTGCCGTACGACACGCCCGCACAGTCGGATAGGCCAGCGCACCAGGACATGCACTCCTCCATCGTGTTTGCCCAGATGTTGGTTGTGTCGTAGTACATGTAGTCGAAATTGCAGCGAATCTGCCACTGGTTGCCCTTGTCGTCGGTGTAGACTTGGCCGTTGGCCTGCGGGCACTTGAGCGACCCATCGTCTCCGCCCGGGAGGTCCGGAATCACAGGAATGACAGACCCTCCGTTGCCGCCTCCGTTGCCGCCTCCGTTGCCGCTTCCGTTGCTGCTTCCGTTGCCGCTGCCGCTTCCGTTGCCATTGCCGCTGCCGTTTCCACTGCCATTGTCATCGTCGTCATCGCCGGACGGCACGTATCCAATGCAGCCCTCGGCCAGGGCCGGGCTGGCCCACTCAGCTAGCTTCCACTCCGGACCTTCGTCGTCGACCTCAAGGGTAATCTCGTTGGTCAGCTTGATATCCCAGGCAATACCCAAGCACTCGTCGGTGCCGGCAGAGATTTCTTCGGTGCCGGCATTGACCTCGAACTCGGCCGTGCCAGTGATGGCGGGCGTGTCGACAAGCGCAATGCCCTCCTTGAACACGCCGTTGAGAATATCGATGCCAAACCACAGCTTTACCGGGAGGCCAAGGGCAGCTGTTGCCGTGACACCGCCATGCACCTGGAAGACGTGGTCAATGTTGGGCGTCCACCCTTTCTGGTTGGAGTTCTTGGGGTTCTTGAGATCCAGGTTGGCTTCGAACCCAGGCCAGTTAAGGGACGCACCAGTGAGGACCTGGCCCTCTGCTTCAACGCCGATTGTGAATTTGCCGGAGAGGCTGATCTTGGGGCCGAGAGTAACGATGCCAGGGATCGACCAGCCCGGAAGCCCCTTGGAAAAGATCTCCTTCTCCCACTCCTTCTCCCACTTGGCAAAGCCATTCACGCCGAGATACATGCCAATGTACATGTTTCCGCTAATGCCAATCTTGGCTTCCTTGACGCCGCTAAGCGGGGTTGCGCTGATCTTGCCGGTAGCCTTAACGGAGCCGCGGGCGCCGCAGTTGACACAGTAGATCTCGACACCAGGCTCCGGCTCAGGCT